ATTTACAAAAAGCATCAAAAACAGTAGTCTAAGCTGCAGAGCTTTCTGGGATTTTAGAAACCATTCAGAGTCAAGAAGAATCCTGTAGTTTATAAAACTTACCGACAAAAATAGTTTATTTTGGTAGGAAGCACTTTGTCCCCCATTTCCTATAATGAAAGATCCCCATTTCCTATAATGAAAATTGATGATACTTCTATTACTTTGTCTACAATGAGCCATGAAAGACTCCTTTTTGTTGGTGTTGTTCCTGTACACCACGCCTAACAAAAGCCTGGAACATAGTAGTGAGTGAAAGGTTGTAAGAAAAGAGAAGTTACAGCTGTGCACTGCACTGTAGTTAGATTTGACCTGGGAAATGATGATCATTGTTGAGACAGGGGTTCCCTAAACTCCTTCTTCCTTTCCCGCCCTGAAGAAGTTCAAATACAATGTTGTAATTCAACCCCTACTCTTCCCATGTACTCCTCCCATCCTTTCAAGTGGGACAACTTATCTTATGGTTGCTTAGGACTGAGGAGAAGGAATTAAGATCCTGGTTCTTCTACTTAAGAGAGTATCATCTTCAGTTGCAACCGATCATGACTTCTGGATGAAACCCAGTTGCCTCCATTCAATCAGAATGATTTCATTCCATAGACATTCTCCATGGGGCTCCTAGCTACAAATCACTTTTTAATCAATTTCAATCATTTCTTCTAAATATACTACAATCACATTTTATAAATCTACCGAAGGCTTGTTGTTAGTGAGCTGCAATAAATTAGATCCTTCTTGCTTTATCCTCAGGTATTAGCCAAGTAATCTGCTCAGAGAATTCAACCAGGAATAAGCACGATCTTTTTTCCCCCCATGAAGCCAATCTGAGTGCCCTGTATAAGTGGGGTTAGTCTACGAGTGGAAATAGTCCTTTTCAGGGGCAGCTGGGGTGATACATGAGCATTTGGACAGATGGCCCATTTTCTTGTTAAAGAAGTCTCTGTGCCACACGCTCACAGCACCTAACAGCTTACTAAACAAAGCTTGAAGAAAAATCAATTCTAGAAGAGCTCAGATGTTTGCTGTGTTGTCTCTGAACATACCTTATGAGTCAGAAACCTGACTTTCTTCTGTAGACCACCTAGTCTGTTCATTGTGGGTCCAATATTTGTTCATTCACAGTCCCTTTTTTCTGTGCTGGGCAATAGCAGGATACATTCATTCAGCAACTGCCCTACAAAAGCCAGTGCTTTGTCTCTGACAGGAATTACAAAAACAAATTTCTCTAGAAGTGCCTGCCCACCAATGTTTAGATTATAAATTGTGGGAAGATCTTGGCAGCCAGAGTTTTCTAGGAGATGCCCAGGAAGGAGTCTATTGAGGCTATGGAGACTTTCCAGAGGACAATTTCCTTCTTTACAGTGGTTAGAATAGAAGAGTTCTTGAGAACCATCATGGAGTATTGGACAAGAAGGAACCTTGAAAGATTTTATTTATCCCTTCTTTTTTAGCTCTAGATCTAAAAATGTGTTCTATTTTAGAAACTCTCCAAGGAACAGAATTTTCCATAACCTTTCTCCTGTTAACCATTTTTTAACTTCGACAAAAATACTTTAGTCAGAAAATTCTATATCACTTATGTGACTCTAATACACATAGCTGCAACCCAAACCCGTTTCCTTGCCTTGTCTTCTGCTGTTCACATCCTCCAGAGAGGGGTCTGTCATCAGGAAAGCCATTATTTGATCACTTCTTGGCTTATTCCCTAAAGTTAAATTATGGGGAGTTTTCTTCCCTCCTCTTTTGGTAGGTCCTAGTTTTCAGCTATTGAGTGATTTTTGTTGTTGAGAATTTTATTGGAGATTTCCTGTGTGTAGAAATACACTAGGCCTCAAACTTTGTAATCCTAATACTCCTCTCACTAACTCTTAAACAAATACCCAACAAAATGAGACTGAGAGAATAAAGCAGCTACTAACAAAGCAAAACACCACAAAAGCAGAAGCTCAAACTGTCCAAGTAGCTAGTTGTCTTTCTGATTTTTGGCTGAACGAGATATTGATAAAATAAAGCATACTTCAAAGTTAAGTGGACATCTCATTTATTGGAATTGACTAACAAGTTGGCCAGGTTTAGATGAAGGCCTGTGCAACTCACCACTGAGTTTGCTAGTCTCTGGACAGTCTATTTTTGTTTTGTTTTGTTTTTTACTTAAGTCAGATCCAAATTATTATAATTAATGTTCATTTTTGCCTTATTCTCACACAAGGCATGGTGATTTTGTTTTGCTGGGTTATCCTTTGTGAGACTATTACTGATTTACTATCCACCCCCGCCCAAACACACAGAGGCTATCTTTAATCCATTTCATTTGTAATCATTCTTTCATAACACTGTGCTGAAGGCCTTATGTTATGAAATGGATAAGTTTAGTTATTTAGTTTCCTATCATTTACCATTTTTTGCCATCTTTTAGCTATTATTAGATTAAGTAATTGGATTGGAGAATGGAGTTATTTTAGAAAACATAAACAAGTATGATTGTGAAATAGCCTTTACTTTCTGAAAGAAGTCTGAAGGGTAAAGCAATAGTTGCCTTCAGTTAGTGACTCCTATGTGTTATCTGGGGAAAAGTTCATTAAAACACATTCTAACAGCTTTTATCCAGTGGAACTTTATTTTCACTAGGAAAATGATTTGCAGGATGGTGAGAATGTTGACTAATTGGTTTGTTCATTCCATCTGGGATTACACCACTTTCTGAATCAGAATTTCCTACGATTGCAACATGTCTTTTTTATTCTTTTCTTTCATTAGAAGCAAGCCATTTGGGTTTGTTACTTGTCTATTTGCTAATCTAGGGCATTGTACTTGTTTGTGACTACAATGAAGTCATAATAGGCCCGTCTGACTTTGTGTACAGAATAAATGGAGATCCCCCAGCTGCTCAGGGAGACAGACAGTGTAAGGGGTCAATCACCCCAATATATCAAACCAAAAATTCTGCTTTCCCAAAACATGGGGAACTTTTATTGAAGTTTAGTATTTTCAGAGAAAGTGTATAATGAGAACACTTACAAACAGTGCCCCTCTGTAACCAGTGCCCAGATCAGGAAACTGAACATAACCAGCCTTGTGCCTTGTAACCAACCCATATCACTATGAGTAACTGTGTTCTTGTTTTTATATTTCATGTAAATGAATTACAGCCATGCATCACTTAATGACAGGGCTATGCTCTGAGAAATGTGTGGTTAGATGATTTCATTATTGTGCAAATGTTAACGTGTACTGACTTAAGCCTTGATGGTCTAGCCTGCTACACTCTGAGGCTACCTAATCTAGTCCATTGAAACTGATGCTGTACATGCAACCTACTGTCCACCACCATGCTATTGAGCAATACAGGACTGTGTATACGATATAGTATTTCCTATCTGACTATCATTCTTCTTTGTCTTTGTATGATTCATCTACATTTATAGTGTGTTTGTTCTTTTTAACTGCTGTGCAGAGTTTCATTGGTCAGTGCACCACACTATTCATTCTCAGGTGACAGGCTTCCGTGGTGGGTGGGGACAGTATAGATGATATTATGAATACACTGTTAGCATTCTCTTTTGTTTATAGTATACATAACGAATGCATTCCTGTGGGATATGTAGCTAGGAGTGAATGGCTGTGGTGATAGATGTTCATATTTGGTAGATAAGCCAGTGGTTGTCAATATAAGCACTCACACCAGCAATGTTTGAGAGGTCCAGTCTTTTTAACTTCTCAACAATGTTTGGCATTTTCTTTTTAACTTGAGCTATTCCAGTGCATATATATTGAATGTGACTAAATTTATGTTTCCTTGAGGACAATGAACTGACTGCCTTTTGATAATGATTATGAGTAATTGATACATTGGTTTTGGGGAATTGTCCAAGTCTTTCACCCTCCTTTCTATCAGTTGTTTCTTTTTTGGTACTGTTTCAAAGGAATTCTTTATATAACCTGGATCTCAGTCCTTTATTGTATATTTGTATTGTAAATATTTTCTCCTTCTCCATGGGTTGTTTTTTTTTTCCACTCTCATAATGGTATCTTTTGATAAACAAATATTACTTTTTTTTAACAAGCCCAATTTGCAATTTTTCTTTTATGATGTGTACTATCATTGCTCAGTGTAAACTATCTTTGTTTACTCCACTCCCAGTTGACAAAGCTTTTTTATGCTTTCATGTAACATCTTTATGTTCAGTTTGTAATTTATCTGACTTGATATTCATATATTGTGTGATAGAGATTAAGATGCATCTTTATATCCATATAAATATCATATTTATACATCATTTTACTTGGCTTTTAGCTTATTTAAAATTTAGTTCCCATAAATTTTTTTATATTTTCCCAAAGAGAATTACTAATGTTCTTGAAAAAATCTAATATATGGAGGACTTAAAATTTATCATATAATCTATAGCTTTATTTGACACTAATGTACTTAAATGTTCTTCTGTTTGATTGGTTTTTAGTTTGTAATTCCAGAATATTTATTTATTTAATACCAGAGTGATGTATAATATACAAAACAGAATCATTTTTTTAAAAATAAATTATTGTTCTCTTTCATTTGAATTCAATTCAACATATGTTTACTATGTATATACTAGAATTGGGGACAGTTGAGAATAGGGTTGAAGTTTTGAGCTCCATTTTTATGTCATTCAGGTTTTAAACCATGTAATAAATTTGTCAAACATCTGTCAGCACTAACATGTTTTTCCTTAGTTTTAAAAATTATATTAATAAATATAAGTACAAGGTGATAACTTTTATTGTTAGAATATCCTTGGATCCCATATGTAATGCCTGTTTGCCAAGTTTTCCACTAGTTAGGACACAGATCTTTTCAGACATAAATATTGAAAGAAAATACAAACATTTCGTTTTTGTATTTGAAGCCTGTGAATGCTTCCTCTTTAATGTCATTTCTTCTTAGTTTTATTTTTTTCTCTTTTCATTATTTGTTCTAGGTTGTACTGGTCAGTGGACATCTGGACAGCTGGGACGTTGGGCAGGGTGCCATGGATGATGGTGGTGGAGCCTTTATATCATGGGAAGCTCTCTCGCTTATTAAGGATCTTGGTAAATATTACGAAAGCTGTTAACCAATGTGTGAGTCTCAGTAGTGACATGTTTAACTCAACACACAGAATACTCAGCAGGTTAGTTACAGTGCTATATTCAAAGATTCTCCTGAGGTCTATGTTTTTTGTAAGTTCATTCCCAGGAAAGAACTAATTTGTTCCTTTAAAGAAAGAAATTTTTATTCAAGTATATGCCAGCCATCCAAAGCATCAAATATGATCAGCGACTGGGGAAAATGAACAAGGAAATAAAACTGCAGCACGTGTAGTCACATCAAGCAGAGCCATGGCCAGCTGCAAAGAAATAGCAGCAGCACCCCCTACTTCCTTTTCCGGGTTCATCTTAAAGCCATTATTAGGCTGTGAGGACAACTTTACTCCATGTGTTTTCTTGATCAAAATCAAAGAGTGCAGCATAAGACTGAAGGAATGATTCCTTAAGCCAAAGTAAAGAATCCAGCCTGAAAAATTGAATCTTCCAGGTAAAGCAGGTGAGGGGAAGATGGGCAGGCATAAAAATGAATAGCTAATAGAGAGCAGTTTGTTAACCATATTTACAAAGATAAACTTCCTTTGTATGTGCTTGTCTAAAAAGATGGATTTTGCATGAGGCTAAAAATAATGAAACTGCATGACATGAGAATTTGATGTCTGACTCAGAGCAGTGTTCGTTCTAGAATGCCTCATCAGCAGAATGCCTGCTTCTGGCATAGCTGTGGTGTGATCCCAGTTTCAGAGGAGTAAAGATCAGAATATTTGCTTTGTTGAAGACTTTCTGTTGCTCATTTGCACAGAGATATGTTTGGATTCATGCTTTTCCTCCTGCTTTTAAAGATTGATTTATTTTTACACAAGAGCTGGGGTATAGGCCAGAGGTGTGGGAGGGTGAGAGGACTCACCAGAGACAGAGCGGGGAGCAGAACAGGCAGAAGGACTGAAATACATTGCTAAGGAGAGCAGCAGACATGACAGGAGAGGTCTGCCACACCATGTGGGAATCTCCCTGGTTGGCCGGGAATCAAACCCGTGCTGCAGAGGCTGAGGACAGCTTCACAGCATGGCGCTCAACCCGCTGTGCCACCAGGGAGGCCCCTCCTCCTGCTTTTAGTAAACTAGCCCATTAAATAATTGTTCATCTTAACAAGATTGCTGAAATTGTTTTGCTCAGACAAATCTTTGGTGTACCATTTTGACTTATGTCTTACCTGTGCTTTAAAAATAATAAAATGGAAAGGTGGTTGTGCAAAGTTCTTGTAGTTCTAAAAAGGCCAGTGTCTCTTCACCCTGGCACTGTTGACATTCGGGGCAGATAACACTTTGTTATAGACTCTGTTCTGTGTATTGTAGGATGTTCAGCAACATCCCTGGCCTCTACCTACCAATACTTGATGCTAATGGTACCATTCTCCCTAAGTTGTGATTACTGATATGTCTCCAAACATTGCCAGTTGTTCCCTGGCAGCAGGAGCATGTGTGTGTTTGTGTGTGTGTGTGTGTGTATGAAAATTGCTCCAATAAAATTAAGTAGTAAAAAATTCTCTAAGTGACCTTAATGCAGGGTCATTTTTTGAAAGAAAATAAACTGATTGGAAACCTTTTAACATTATTGCCACACTGAGCACTTACTATGTGAAAGCACTATTTAAAAGCTGTGCATATGGTGAGGTATAAAGCAGTATTGCGTTCTTGAGACCCTTAGGATAGAGTTGGAGACATACTCATTTATTTTCATAGTTATCAATGTAGTTGTGATTTTAAGGTCTGCTTTTAGAATTGGGTCAGTTTCTCTCAAGAGGAAGATACGTTTCCCAGTAAATAGAACCAAAAAACAGGCATTCCTTCAGAGAAGAGTCTATATGAATCCCCCCCCCCTCCTTCCCTTAAAAATGTTCTCTTGGCTGTCTTTCCCTTTCCTTATCCTTATTCAAAATGAAGTGGGTTCTAAGGATGTATCAGGTAGGTGGCAAGTAGTTTTTCCTTCTTATAGGACACAGACATTTATTTTTCGTAGTGAATTTTATTTCACTGTGTTTGACTAGGTTGATTGGAAGCAGAATGGCAGAGTAAAAGGGATCTCGCACCCCATCTGAATTGGGTTTTAGGTCCACTCTGTGTCACAAACTACTTTTTTGCCCTTGGGCAAGTTATTTCAACTCTCTGGGCTTCATGCCCTTCATCTCTAAACTTCCAGAGTTTTTTATTTGCTCTAAATTGGAATAAAAGTTGCATCTTCTCTAGGCTTTGAATCTTATTTTTTAATACTCAGCATGGGACCTTAAATCGCTGTTAATAGAGTTTAATTTAGTTGCATGGATAAATGTCAAACACCATGCAAAGGTGAACTGAGTATCTTTTTCCCACTACGCAAGTACATTGATAGTTAATAATCAGTCTCCTTCAATTCAAGACTTAACTCGCCTATGGATTTCTGAAAACCTATGTAGACATATGAATACAGCTCTGAAAGAAGGAGTTTTATTTATTTTGCATAGGTGTTAAGAGGCAGCTGGCATACTATTATGAAAACGCAGGACTCTGGAGGCAAACTGCCTGGCTTCCAATCCCAGCTCTGCAACTCACCAGCTTAGGCAAGTTACTTTACCTTTTTGTGCCTCCATTTCCTCATATATGAAAATGGGTATAATAACAGTTCCTATCCCATAGGGTTACTTTGAAAATTAAATAACTTATATACATAGCATACTTAAAACAGGGCCTGATTCCCAACAAGTACTCACTCTACACTCTAACCAGACTCCACTCCACACGTTACTTCCAGTGAGTGCCCCCATTGAGTCTAATTCTTTAATTTTTAAATTTAAATTAGATTGTAGATTTCTTCTTGTAAATTTCCTATGTGTTTTAGTGTTTAGAACTGAATCCAACATGTGAGTTTTACATGAAAATGACTGATTTACTCCAACAAGAAATAGGGCTTTGGGCTAGAGGCCAAGAAATGGATTTTTGATTATATTACCTAATTACATTGAGCCCAAACTGTTTAACTGGTGAAATATAAAAGCTCTGTGGCAATTTCTTTTCCAAGAGTAGTGAGACTCTTTTTGGCTGGTGTTCCATGGACAATATGTCATACAGCATGCATGTCAGAGTCCCTCAGTGGGACTTGTTAATTTGAAATGTGGTTCCACTGGGGCTCTCTGATATTTGGGAATATTGTTCTAAGATTCATCCTTCTGTCTCTTCTCCTTTGTTCTATTCTTTCTCGATTCTTATAGTTTCACATTTTTACCGAAACCATCAGCTCAAACTATATTCAATTAATCTAAAAGAAGAGATTTATTAGTGCCTTGCAAATATAATCAGTCATTCCTGAGTAAGTTTCAACAAAAGGCTGTTTGCAGTGAAGTGCTGTTAATACTTTTTGTGTGTTTGTGGTTTACTGAACTTGAAACTGTTTATTTGAAATGTCATTTCCTGGAATGTTCTGGTGTCAGTGGACAGAATCTATGGTCGAAGATGTTATCCTTCAAAATGTTCATTTGGCACTTGAAAAGTAAACCACCATCCACCCCAAAATTCTTCCAACTTTACCATTTTCTGAGAAGTTGGAATTTTGAGTTTTTAGCCAAAACAAAAGAACACATGAATTAACAGTACCACCTACTTATTGAAATGTGGGATTATGTGAAACATCTTTCTAGAAAAAATTAAATGTGAGCATCCTGTTTGTGATTATTCTAGAACTTGAAAATCCATGTATTAGAAAAGTATTTCATTTATATAGTCCCTCACACATTTACTGAACAAATACTGTGCACTGTCTGAATGTCTTCTGCTGGATGCTTTGTACCAAAGGGGGTGAGACCTGGTCCTCAAAGTCCTTGAAGTGGGAGAGACATTCAGTTTTAAAATGGCAATGCATTTGTTATAAGTTCTTTAACTAAAATATGTACAAATGACTTTGGCGACTTGGTGAAGGAAGGGCCCATGTGTGGCTTGTTTAGGTCAGGACACCTTTACTAAGGTGGTGTTTGAATTTTCTTTTATAAATATAGAAAGAAATTTCTGAAGCTAAAGGGACACAATGAAGAATTCCCAGCAGAGTATAGAGCTTCCAGTCAGATTCATCATTTAAATGAGAAGAAAATTGTTGACAGTAGTCGTCTTGGAATTGTGGGAGTCTTCCCCACAATTGCAGGGGATGGTCACTTTTTACCTGTTCTGTTTCGATAATGTTAGATTCTTGTATAATAAGCATGTATTACTTCCATAATCAAGAAAAAATTCCTCAAAAGACAAAAGTACATACCCAAAATAAATGCAAGGTTCTTGTTATTTACCATAAACTGATATAATAACAGGAACAACAGGACAGAGAGAGGAATCACGAAGAGCTGTGCAAGAATCACCAAGCTGCCAGGCAGAATATGCCAGAGAATTCAGTGTACATCCCCAGACTTTGGTATAGCCAGAGTTTTATGCAGCCATTTCTAATGCTGTGGTTCTCTCTTGGAGGTAGAGACCTATCTGGAAAGAAGGATTCCTTTTCTCAGGTCTTGGTGAAGCTTCCCTTGCAAAAATCTCAGTGTCCAATCCAGAAACTAGGGAAATGAACAACTTCCAGTGAAATGGATGCCTGAAGAACAGAGATAGCGAGAGAGACTTGAAGCCAACTTGGGAATGACCTTGACCTAGAAAGGAGAGCCCACAGAGAAAGGACCTCCCTGGGGGTTTAGCCTTACCACTGGGTGGAGTAAAAGTCCTCAAGGTAACATTTACTAAATACTACTGTGTTGTAGACATTTTACTAAGCACTCCACCATGTACATGCTCTTTTTTTCCCCAACAATAATCCCAACCTGTAGATACTCCTGTTGTGTCAATTTTACAGGAGAGGAAACTGAAGCAGAAAGAAGCTGAGGAACCCATGCAAAGGGACACAGCTATCTAAAAAACTTAAGTCCAGGCAGCCTGACTGGCGACTCCTAAGTATTTTATTAAACTGTTTTAACATTACCATTGTTTTACATCCTCATT